GATCTTTCAAGAAGACGAAAGGTAACTTGTCGATCTCTTCCTTCGCCGCGGTAATAAAGTCTCGCCTGCACTTGCCACTCCGCAATGACGCCATCATGAGATCACTATTCCAGCCCACGCGAGCCGAAGATGGCCCTTCAAGCAAGCCCGCTTTATCATAAGTCATCGTACAAATGACTGGTATATGATCGCGGGGGATTGTCCTCGAACTGCTTGCAATTTTGGCCCCAGTCCTTTCAGCGGGTAGCACCTCCTCACCACATGTTGCATAGCCTTCGGATATAAAACACACATATATATACGTATATGTATATACATATAACAAAAAAATCAATGCGACTCGAAGCACCATCTGAGCCGAAAAAAGTTTGTTGTAGCTGGCCAGCTGTGTTGCCCGCCACCATGTAGTGGGACTCCATACATTATCTGAGAAGTTGTCCTGCAGCTCGAGGAAGCTGCTCCTGCGTGGGGGCATCTATTACCGCCGTTGAATCAACATCTTCCCACCCATGGGGTCCACGAGACTGACCAATACCATCGTTGAGATCACAATATAGCAGCGGGGTACACCTATGTGGTAGTTCGCTCAGCACCATTGAAATCCATGCCACCAAGAGACGCACTGTAGCAAAATACTGAGGCCGATGAGCGCGATACCTCGGGCGTGGAGGAAAATACACCACCATCGGACATATATATATATATATATATATGTATATATATATGTATATATATATATATATATATATATATATGGTGGACCGCTTTTTGCTCTGACCGCCAGCGCTCTCCCTCTGGCCTCAGGGGGACTGACCCATGTTCTCATAATATTCTGCTCTCGAATACGACTACCAAGTCCCAGTGCACACCCGCAGCTGTTGTTACTATACGGCGACTTGTAATACGGCGATTCCAGAACTAAACGCCCTGCACATCGTTGTCTAAGAACACGCAAACCCTGCTGCGGATGATCCACACACATGGTCCCTGCCAAAGCCCCTGCGTCGAAATTTCTGGTCTCGCCCATTATCTCACTCAAACGATCGCCGCTCGCCCACAGCGGGTTGAAGCCCAGGAAGCGGAGAGAAGACATTGCATCCCCCCGCCGAAGGCCCCACCTCGCCCAACGAGTGGGAAACTCCACCAGGTTGTCCTCCTGGCGGCGCGGCAAGCGGCGCCCTGTGCGCAAGCAGCTCGGACCGCTTGGAGGAGGAGGAGGAGGAGGAGGAGGAGGAGGAGGCGGAGGAGGAGGAGGAGGAGGAGGAGGAGGAGGAGGCGGCCCCTCATCGTCCCCAGAAGACGCGACGCAGCCGAGCGCGGCCCTGCGGGGGGCGACGGCGCAGCGGGCGAACGGCCGCGTGCCGCTCCCACGCCGCTCCCCCCTGCCTTTGCCCCCCTCGTGGCCTCCCTACGGCTCGGCGGCGCCAGCGCCGCCCCTGCCGGTGCCGCATAGGCCCACCCGACTTGGGCCGCCGCCCGCGCCTCCCACCAAAACCGGCGGCAGCGACTTGCGCCGCGCACTGCTCAGCGTCACCTCGCGCGGCCCGCGGGGCCTGCACGACCCCGAGCTGGGTCTCCGAGGCGCCGCCCCCACCCTCGCCCCCGCCTCGCCCGCGGGCGCCCCCGAGGCCCCGGCGCCCCTCGCACCCTGCCTGCACTCCTCGGACTGGTCGTCCTCCGCCGCCTCCGCTGGCCTTCGCCCCAGCTTGCCTCTCCAAGGCTCGCGCCCCTCTCCGTCGTGGCCTCCTCCTCCTCCTCCTCTGCCGCCTCCGGGTAGGCCGACGCTGCGCAGCAGCTTCCTTCCCCGTCACCGCAGCACCACCAACTCCCTTCGCAGGCGAAGCAGATAGCACCCCTCGCAGGTGTCTCGCCGGCATCGCGAGCAGCGCCACCTCGCGTGCCCGGCGGAACGCGCCGACCCAGCGCATCGGGTCTCCCCCCTCCCCGACGCAGTTCCGCCTGCGGTAGGCGTACCCGCCATATTCGGCGGTGCTCCAGTGCAGGAGGCGCGCGCGCCTCGGGCACTCCTGCGCCTTCACCTCCTCGCCCTTCCTACTGCGGCGGTCGTGCTCGCTGCTCGCCCAGCCCGGCGTGGTGGGGCGTCGGTAGCCGAGCCTCAGCGGCTTGCCCGTCCAGGGCCTCCATCGCCGCCTCCGCCTCGCTCCCCGCCAGGAACATGCGCGGCGCCTGTCGGATGGGCTGCCCTGCCATGCCCCGCAGCATGCAGATGCACTTCTGCTAGGTGGATCTCTCAAGCCCTCCGCCGCTTCTGGCGGTGTGCGCTGCGAGCAGGAGCACGGCAAAGCCAGAGGCGGCGGAGAGCTTGAGAGGTCCACCTACCGAGAGCGCCCGCCTCGCGAACGCCCAGCTCGCGCAGGTAGCCAACGCTCCACTTGACCAGCTGGGCGCTGGGGCCGCAACTGCCAGCACGATGCCATGCGCGCGGCCTACGTCCCGCGCCCAGAAGGGGCGCGCCTCGAGGCCTCCGGCAGGCCCGCCGAACCACCCGACTCGAGCCCCACAACTGCGAGACCAAACTGGCGAAGCCGATTTTTGCTGGATGGGATCTCTCAAACTCTCCGCCGCCTCTGACGGTGTGCGTTGCGAGCAGGAGCACAGCAAAGCCACAGGAAAGCGCGGCATTGACAGTGTAGCTCCGCACACGTGACACATGTTCACGAGCAGGAACACAGCAAAGCCCCTTACACATAACCTACAGTCTATAAGGGCAATGTTCGTGTAAGTGGGAAAAGGGAGGGAGGCGAGGGGGGACGGGCGAGGAGCAAAGGGCAAGTTGAGCGCACTCGCGCATTGTATGACATCCTGCTCCTCCCGCCGGCTCCTTCCCGTTACGCTTGAGTCCCTGTCATCAGCACCGCCGAATGGGCTATCGAATCGAGCACCGATCCCTGCATTGCTCATACTATTCTTGACCAGCTGTCCGCTGTCCCAATATGGCCGGGCTTCGGAAACCCTGGGCCAAAAAAGGTTGACAGCTCTTGGGTTGTGGATGCCATGACAATGGACACTCCAACAATCCTATCCTTGAGCTGAAAGTGTGTTTAAACTGTGTAAAACATGCTCTACAAATGTTTCAAACATGTCCTTCACATATCTAAAGCATGCTTGAAACATGTCTTAGACATCTGGGAATCATTTGGCGCCATGCTTCCTCTCCAGTGAGCGTCCTCCCCAACTCCTGGGGGCCGCTACTACCTCGGCGGTTTCCGCCAGCGGAGCCGCCCTCGTTCTGCCTCCGCCGGCTGGCGGCGGAGGGGAAAGGCGCCAACGCCTCGATGCCTCCAAGACGGGGCCCTCCCTGGAATCTCCGGCAGGAGCGGGGCAACAACGGGAGGGGGGGGGCTGGGCGACGAGGGCGAGGCGGAGCAGCGGACAACTGGGCGCGGCGGGGCAGAAAAGGGGTGCCACTGGGTGCGCCGCACGGTGTCGCACGAGCGTCGTCCCTCTCCCCCACGTTCTGCCTCCAGGCTCCGCTTGTTGCAAGGCCTCCTCGTCCGTCCACTCCCCGCAGCCACTTGGCGCGAAGCCAGCAGCTTCTTCGGACCGAGCGCACGTGCGCGGATGAAGCCACGAGTGCTCTGACTTCTGCTGCGCTGCCCCGCGATGTTCTACAACAATCGTCTTGGGGTTCTGCCAAACATCTGCTCCCAGCCCCGATCGGCCCCGGCCTTCCGGGGACCCATAGAGATCCGACGCCGTGACGTTTTCCATGCGCGGCCCCCGGAAGTCTCGACCCATTCCCCAGCACCGGTGTTTCATCCTGAGCCGTTGTTGACGGTCCCGAAGCCCGGCGAGCGCCCCAAGTGGCCGAAATTATTTTTTATATTTTAGTATATAAATATATACACATACATATAGAATTAAAGTAATAATAAGAATGAAAATAGAAATAAAAATAATAATGATAACACTAATAATAATAATAAAAAATAATAGTAATAATTACAATACGAATAATAATAATAGTATGAATAATCATAATAATAATAATAATAACAATAATAATAATAATAACAATAATAACAATAATAATAGTGATAATAATAATAATCATAATAATAATGATAATAATGATAATAATGATAATAATAATAATAATAATATATAAACAAAACCAAAAAATGTCTTGATTTTGTCAATGCGTTGGATCTCTGGGGAGGCCCCGAGGGGCCTCCCTGGCCCCTCGCGGGCCCCCCCGGGGGTCCTCCAGGGCCCCGGGACGCGCCAGGACAGCCGGGAGCCACCCCCTGCCCGGGCCGCCCCATCGCGCCGCCCGAGCGAAAAAAACGCTGGGCACGGCGCGAGATGGACCATCGCCGGGGCTCGACGCTGGAAGTCTCCCGACGCGTTCTGACAGGCCTCCCAGGCTTCGAGGGGCCGAAGGACACACAAGTAGATCCACACACAAATAGCAGGGTTCCCCACATCTTCCCATGTGTTCGGGTTTTTTGTCTTCCCCCCCACTTCCCATATTTCTGGGGAGTCGACGATTCAGGGTGTCTGTGTGATTTGTTCCCTCCTGACAGGTGGAGCCCGAGCAGATGCGGTCCGAGGACCGCGCCGCATCGCCGATGCACCGCCGATATCGGCGACGTCACCGATGCACCGGCGCCGCAGGCGTGAGCAGAGTCGGGCCCCACGTCGAGCCGCTTTGCCGTCGAGCCGCTCTGCCGATGCGTCGGCGATGCGGGCCGAGCCTCCGATGCCCGGGCCCCGCTCGGAGGACTGGAGCTCTGGAGCCGGGCGGGCTACCAAAAACGGGATGCGGTCAAAACTGCCAGTAAGGATGCGCGATAAGGATGCATGCGCCTTGGACGCCCATGCCGAAGCCTTTCGGGCGGGGATGGCCATGGAGAGCGGTCCAGGATGGACCCAGGAGGAAGGATGCAAGGGCACCCTCGGGAAGGCTGCCCGTCCTCATTACCGGCTTCGACCATACATCGCAGTCACCGCGTGAGAGCTCTCAGATTTCGTCGCGCCCCCGTCCTTCTTGTCCCCCGCGGGCGCGGCGGCGGGCGCGGCGGCGGGCGCCGCCGCCGCCGGCGCGGCCGGTGCCTCCTCCGGGGGGGGGGGGCGGGGCAGCCCACGCACTTCTTGGCCCGCGGCGCGCTGGGTCCGACAAGCAGTCGAGCTGGCGGCGGAGCGCGTCCGCGGCTGCAGCTGCGGCGGAAGCAACGGAGGGTAGGAGAGAGAGAGGGGAGGAGGAGGAGGAGGAGGAGGAGGAGGAGGAGGAGGAGGAGGAGGAGGAGGAGGAGGAGGAGGAGGAGGAAGGAGAGGAGGAGGAGGAGGAGGAGAGGCAGGAGGAGGAGGAGGAGGAGGAGGAGGAGCAGGAGAGGAGGAGGAGGAGGAGGAGGAGAGGAGGAGGAGGAGGAGGAGGAGGAGGAGGAGGAGGAGGAGGAGGAGGAGGAGGAGGAGAGGAGAGGGAGGAGGAGGAGGAGGAGGAGGAGGAGGAAGAGGCGGAGGAGAGAAAGGGACGGCCCATAGATCGGCTGCGCGCAGGAGCGGCCCTGGGTAAGAGTGACCTCTGGTGTGCGGCTGCTCGGGGGCCACGGGGCGGGGCCAAACAGGAGCGCGCAAGACGCTGCTATCGCATCGCGTTCGGCCACCGCGGGACCCCAATGGGCCCGCACCCAAGGCCACTCCAGCGAAGGGCCACTCTTACGCCTAGTCGACTGGAGGTGTCAGGAGCGCCCCCATGCGCCTCGGGGACCCCAACGGGCCCGCACCCAAGGCCACTCCAGCGAAGGGCCACTCTTACGCCTAGTCGACTGGAGGTGTCAGGAGCGCCCCCTACGCCTCGGGCCCTGCGCCAGCTGCGGGGGGCAAAAACTGCATCGTCGTCAAGCGTCACCGCGGCGTTTGCGCTGTCCTCCACGCGCTCTCGAGGCCAGCACCCAGTGCCACGGCGCCCACTTGAGCGCTCTCCCGGCCCAGGAGGGGGAAGCGGCCGCGGAACGGTGGGCGGCGACGACAGGGGCGCACAGCCCAGGGGCGGGCATTACACGTCGTTCATTTCTAATCGTGCTCATTTCTAAGTGTGCTCGCTTCTAATTGTTCCTGGCCGCCTAGTGGCCAGGAAGAGGCCCAGGACAGAACAATCAGAAATGAAAGGATCTTGGCCCCCGTCGTCGCCTCTGAAGCGGCCAGAGAGCTCTCAGACCGTGCAGATCTCCCGGCGGCGGGGGGGCGGGGTCCACGCACGCGCGCGCCCGCGAATGGCCCGAGCGGTCGGCGAGGGCCCTCGGCCTCCTTGCCTTGGGAAGTCGCGCTCCAAACGGATCGAGGCTCTTTGGCTTGGGCTCCGTCGCGGACGGTATCCTCGCTTGGCAGCCCCCGTGGCGGAGGGAGAGGAGCAGCAGCAGGGGGAGGAGGGGGAGGAGGAGGAGGAGGAGGAGGAGGAGGAGGAGGAAAGCCACGGGCTGAGGGGGGCTGGGCCGTCGTCGCCCTCGTCGGTCGCCCCCTCGTGCTCGGGCTCGCGCGCCGCGGGCCATCGCTCGGCGCCGCGGCCGCGGCAGGCGCCCCGCCAGGACGCCTCGTGAAGGCGAACCATCCTGGCATCGGCGCCAGCGGCAGCAACGTGCTCAGGCGCGTACGTTGCTCCGAGTCCTCTCTGCCGCGAGGACCCTCGCGGAGCACCACAGCGCCCAGCCCGTCGACAAGATGACGCAGGACTGGAAGCACCAGCGCGACTGGGAGCAGCCGCACTTCGACACGACGGCGTCATCAACACGAGCCTCTCGTGGTCATCCCGTCGGAGCTCAGCCATGGCCGTGGAGGTCGGGATCTCGGACGCGACGACGCAGGACGTACGGGAAGAACGACGACCAGAGCTGGCAGCAGGACCGCGACGGCCACGACCAGTACGACGGCAACGCAAGCACCCGTCACAACAGCCACTGCCAGCAGCACTACGCCAAGGACGAGCATGCTCACCACTTCACCCACCACGGCGAGGACACCCACAAGAAAGGTTCACGGGCTCGCTCCACACCTCGCACAACGACACGGACGCAGAGCAAGAAGCACTACGGCGCGCACAACTTCTTCGACGGCTTCCAGTTCTCCAAGAAGCAGCGCGAGATCCTCGACCAGGTCCTCCCTGCCGACGACGTGCGCATGCAGTCCCACGAGAGCTTCTCCACGCCCCCGCTTGAGGAGGACATGCGCCGCCTTTGGGTGACAACCAAGCGCGGACGCATCGCTCGGTTGGCAGACCAAGCTCAGGGCGCACGCGCCGTCGGCGTCGACGATGCCAAGATCGTCGCAGAGCTGTCTGTCAACAAGGCAATGCTCCTCCTCACGTTGTCTCCCGACGAGCGGGTGCACTACTACCGCCGATGCATCGACACCACGGTCAGGCGAAAGAATGCGCTCAAGGACGACATCAGGAAGATGCAGACCGAGTTCGACAACACGGAGGGCAGCTTGAGGATACTACGAGCTCTACTCCAGGAGTCGAAGTTGAAGAGGGACGACGCCACACCCGACCTCGAGTACGACGACTTCTACAGCGACAACGACGAGAGCGAGAAGGATCACCACAACAGGCGCAGGACTCGGACACAGACACCTCACCCACGACAGCGCGAAGATCACCGACCACAGCAGTACGCAGCACCAGCAGCAGCACCACTTCGACAGCAGGACGACCCACACCAAAAAGGTCACAAAGAGCTGCTCGCGATGATCACGGACCTCTCCAAAAAGGTGGACCAGCAGCGACAACACACGGGACTCCATCAGCACCACCTAGCCCACCTCCACCAACAAGCTGATCTCCGACAATCCGAGCACCGCGAACAGTTGCAGGAGGAGCTTACGCGCATGGAAGCACACACGTCTCGGAAGGCCTTCAACGAGCTTCATCTCGAACTACAGCACCACGAGCAACGACTCCAGCGCCGCTTCCAGGAGGAGATAGACGAGATCAACGCACGCAACCGCCACCTAGAACATCAGCAAGCACAACGGTTCCTACGACAGTCCGAACAACGACGCCAGGAAGATGAAGCTGAACAGGCACATCGCATGAAGACCGAGCTCGAACAGCACCAATCACTTCACGACGCCGCACGTGGTCACCTTGCACGGCGGGAAGCAGTACAACAACACGAACTACGGGAGGCTAAGCCATTTTGGCTCCAGCATCTAATTCGTGAATCCGAGCACCGCCTTCAACAGGAGGAAGCTCAGTGCGCTCACAACCTCCTACTTCAGCACGAGATGAGAGGGCAGCAACAAGAAGACGCACTTCGACTGGCTCAGCAACGACAGCTTCATGAAATCAACTGCAGGGCTCATGCGGAATCATCGGCACTCATGCAAGCCAAAGAGAAGATCCTCGAGGAGTACGGTGAACTGCGTGCGCAACAACACGAAGCAGCCACGATATGCACCGAGCACCAGCACGAGCGAGCCCGACTCCAAGGCGAACGTGCCAACCTACACCTCACCGAGCAGCAGCTCCACGACAGGTACATCAACCACTTGGCGACGACCGAGGAGATGCGAATAAAGGAAAGGGAGGAAATGCAACGTGAGTTTCGACAAGCCGAGCTCCTTCATGACCCTCTTGATCTTGAACTGTTGCAAGAATTGAACACGAGGTTCAGCGAGAGAGACGAGGAGGAGAACAGACAGCAGGCGTTAGCCGACTCAGAGGAGAAGCGCATCCACCGCGAGATCGAAGGCGCCCTCACCGCGATCATCCCAGGCCCCTACGAGCTGCCTCACCCACACGCCGACATCTACCTCGAGCAGCTACGACAGATGAGCTCTCCACCGAACGCAGCTCATTCCACGTCCAACTCAGACGCATGGAGCTTACGAGACCTCGGCTTTGCAACCGCACCACCCACCTCACCACCCGCCCCGAACCCCGACCACACCCACGACAGAACGCCCACACACCCTCCAGCCAGTATCGCCCCACTCAGCGATGCCGACCACGACAAGCCCTCTGAAGCACACCACGGCGATACACAAGCACACCAATCGAGCTCTCCGAGATCTTCGTGCTCTCCCACGCCCATCGCCGACGACGGCTACCTCTCTCAGCACGACGACGGACAGTCTACGCCCATTCCTGACCTTCACCACGACTCCGACCTCGAAGGCACCGACACCCCCATCCCAGCTGCGCAGGCCACTCCCCCCACCCCACACATCATCTTCCCCGAAGTACGTGCCATGTCCGCCCCCCCCGACACGAGATCGACACCCGATGACCAACAGCGATCCACGCCCCTTACCACAATTCTCATCGATCTCAGCGACGACGAGCACGAAGTACCCACCACGCCCAAGACTCGACCGATCACCAGCATCACCCCAACCCAAGCCTACAGCCCCATCATCCCTCCACCCAGATTCCATATGGGAACGCCCGACAGGGCCCAGTCAGCGCCACCCTCACGAACCCGATCGGCCCTCAAGAGACAGGACTCCACATCACGACCACCGCGGAAGGTCCGCATCCACGACAGCGGTGACGGCTTCGTGGACATATCCGACCGCGTCCCTCTCCGTGCCGATCCTGACGATGAAGGATCGGACACCGCGCTGCGTCCAAAAAACTAGATACGAACGACCCCGATGAGGGCGCTCTGGCTCATCGGACCCGTCGAAAAAGACCAGAGCAACAGGCCCCTGGTCGGCCTCAAGCGACCATACGTAACTATCGGCCCAGCGCCACACAGCATCACAATGTCACAGACGCAGCAACGAACCTTGCGACCCCTGCGGTGCAGGTAACTTGCAGCTTCAGACACGCACACCCACCCCGCCTTCCACTAGGGAAGCCCACGACGACTGACCTCGACAGGCTGACACCCGCTTTGGGGACTCCCACTGCGGCAACCAACTCTGCGACCCCTGCGGTGCGGGTGACTTGCAGCACTTCTCCATCTCACCAACAACCACTTCCACTAGGGAAGCCCGACTTCACCAGCCTCAGTATGTTGCCACCCGCTTTGGGGATAGCGGATCAGCATCAAGGCCCAGGGCACGCACAACAACCAGCTACACTACCAAGCCATAAAAATACCAAAAACCAT